TATTGTCTTTATTACTCTCATCCTTACTGCATTCATTTAATAGACAAATACTGAACATTTATGGTAAGCTAGGCACTGTGTTGAGTATTAGAGATATAATTGTGAGCAAAAACAGACATGGTATATGCCTCTATGGAGTTTAGTTTACCTGGAGGGCTGAAGGATTTATCATATAATACCCAAATAATTACAAAGTTATAGAATTTCAAATAAAAAATGTTATATAGGAAACATGATTTAAAGAGAATACAGCAAGGAGACCTGGTCTTTGGAAGGAGTAGAGGAGGGCATCCCTGGGAAGACTTTTGGATCTGGATTTTAAAAACTGAATAAGAGTAAACTAGAGGAAGGGGGAAGAAGTGGGAAGAGAATTCTAACAGAGAAAACAGCATATGCAAATTCCCTGAGAGAGAGTGCATCCAAAGATCTGAGAGAGGCTGTATATGTCTGGACCATAAGAAGAGAGTATAGGGGCACCTGGGAGGCTCAGTGGGTTAAAGCCTCTGCCTTCGGCTCAGGTCATGATCCCAGGGTCCTGGGATCGAGCCCCGCATTGGGCTCTCTGCTCAGTGGGGAGCCTGCTTCCTCCTCTCTCTCTGCCTGCCTCTCTGCCTGCTTGTGATCTCTGTCAAATAAAAAAAAAAATTAAAAAAAAATAGAAGAGAGGGTAGAAGACAGTGAAGGCAGATAAGGCTGGAGAGGAGTGGCCACATGGTCAGGCCACCTAAGACCTTATTGTCACTTCAATAATTTTGGTATTTATTCTAAGGTTGTTTTTTTTTTTTTTTAAGATTTTACTTATTTATTTGACAGAGGGAGACATAGTGAGAGAGGGAAACACAAGCAGCAGGGGGAGAGGGAGAAGCAGGTTCCTTGCTGAGCAGGGAACCTGATGTGGGGCTCGATCCCAGGCCCCTGGGATCATGACCTGAGCCAAAGGTAGATGCTTAATGACTGGGCCATGCAGGCACCCTAATTCTAAGGTTTTTAAACAAGATCAAGTGACATGATTAGAAATGCATTTCGAAAACATCATTCTTTAGCACATGGGAGAATGGATCGGAGGGGGGCAAGGATTGAAACAGTACTTCTAGGTTTCAGATATGAGATAATGATGGTGGACATTGAGAGAAGTTGTTAGATTACAGAGACACTTAGCTTGGAAAATCATCAGACTTTGGAGATGTAGTGAATGCAGGAAGTGGAGGTGAAGGAGAGGTCTAGAATACCTTCCTAACTCTGGTTTCAACAACTGCACAAATATAAGTGCCATTAACTAGACCAGGGACAATGGAAGTGGACCACACTGGAGGAGAGAATGGGTTGAATTTGGCCTGAGAGGAGTGTGCAGTGAGCTACCTTCACACCATCTTTATTCCTTCTTCACATGATTGTTCTATTTTCATCTATTAATTTCTCATTTGACAAATCATTATTAAGCACCAACTATGAGATTAAAAAATGATGATGTAGACATAGCCTTTCAAGAACTTTACTGCCTATACAGTTCTATATCGAGAGCTATGATAGAAAAAAATAAATTTTATCAAGATACAGAAGAATGCACCTCACCCAGAATTTACTTCTAAAACCTAGAAATAATATAACCAATCTCCCTGGTTCTATACTTGTCCACCTCCAATCCACTCCCAAGTGCATACAGAATGATGTTTTTGAAATGCACATATAAGGTTGGAAATCTTGGGACATTTTCTGAAGGAAACGTCTCTGATGAAACCTGAAAGAAAGGAGTCTAAGGGAAAGAGTGCTCCAGACAGAGGGAAGACTCTGTACAACAGGAGTCGAGAGGGCGCTGTGAGTTAAGGTTAAAGCAGTTCATTGTGGATGAAGCACTCAACAGAGAATGGAAGCAGAAGCTAATCAACCAGCTTCAGACTCTGGGCTTTATCCTGAGCACAAAGTATTTTTTAAGACTTCTTTTCCACTTTGGTCAGTATTTATTGAACTTCTAATTTTTCTTTTTCCTCTACATTCATGTACACACACACACACACACACACACACACACACACACATCTATTAGTCACTTTTATTCCTAGACAAACACAATATCAAACATTCTGCAAAACCAAGAAGTCACATGGGATTTTGGATTGCATTTAGAAAACCAGGAAATCATATTATAAACCCTAGAGCTCATTAACCAGCTACTTCTGTTTACTTTAAACCCGTTAGTGTCACCTTAGGGAAACATCCATCTTTAGGGAATTTTTTTTTTTTTTCTGATTACACCAATCGTTTCCAAATGGAGAGCCAGCACTCCTCAAGTCTTACTTCTACACATTCATTAAAGGGATGTTGTTCATGCAGCATGACAATTCTCAAAGCAAAAGAAATCCCACTGCCCATGATGTTCAAGACCCTTGTTTAATTCTTCACCACCCAACTGTATAATGGCCTGAGGCCAGATTCTTCGGTTTCCTTCCTTCCAGCTATCCCTTTTCTTTATCCTTCTTGGTTCTCCTGTCTTGAAAGCTCATCTTTCACTGATCACTCTCCAATTTCAAACAATAATGCCAGGTTTTCTCATACCCTATGTCTATACACAGAAAACTACTTGTAGTTCTTTAGATACTCCCTTCTGTTTCATGCCTGTATACTCTTTTTTGGTGGTGGTGGGGGGAGTGAGGGTAGAGAGGGGCAGAGGTAGACAGAGACAGAGAATCTCAAGCCGGCTGTATGCCCAGGGTGAAGACCAATGCAGGACTTGATCTCATGACCTTGAGATCACGACCTGGGTCAAAATCAAGAATGGGACTCTTAATAAACTGAGCCACCCAGGCACCCCATACCCATACACTTTAACACATAAATTATTCTCTCTTAATATCTGTTCCCCTCACTACCTACGTGGACAAATGTTATCTTTAAGACCCGTCTCAAGCATTTTTGATTGTGTTCACTTCTTATTTTTTAGAGCCTCTCTCCAAATCTGCAGTATGGAACACTCTTTCTTTTAAGTCACACCCATCATATTGTATACAATTATTTAAAATGGTCTTTCTGTCTTTAGGTTGGGGTAAAGACTGTTTATCATTTATCTTTATATCCTCTGTATCCAGACAGTGCCTGGCAAGAAGTAGACGTCAAATCAGAGACTATAAATGAATTAATTATTCAGTGAACCAATGCCCAAACATAACAAAAAAAGGCCTCTCAAATTTGTGATGGAGATGGCTGAGTACTTTTGTGATCTCACAGGCTATCATTCCTCATTTATTAAATATTTTTAAATACTTATAAAGATATGAATCTTGGTTCTATTCCCTAGAGATCCTGATGGGTGCCTAGATGCTTCTGACGTTGAGAATTCTGCTAAGAAATTTGTTCTAAAGCAAGAAAGAACATCAGGAAATGTAACCAGCACGAAGATGAGTAGTGGAAAATCTTCCTCTTCTATTTCAATATATCCCTTTGAAGCAAAGCAAAACCCTATGCACATACCCTATATTTCTTTGATTCTTCTAACTACCTACTTATCCATCTGATAAGTACATATCCATCTGAAAATTGTGAGATGCTCCTGTACTGTGCTAGGTGTTCTCTTGGGCAGGTGAGAAGCAAAGAGAAAATTCTGCATGTAAACCAGACTCTACTCCAGAAGAATTTAAAACATTCAATCACTTGTCCAAGAAATTTTACGATAAACAACACAGGCATAGCAAAGTTTTAAGTTAAGAGCAGGAACATGTCAGCTTTCATCTGTCTTTTTCTCTTAAAAAATACCCATAGGTCTTGATCTTGGAGTTAACATGAAAGCTTTCCATTTCTTATTTCCTGCAGAGGATTTAACTAGAATTTTGGGGCCAGGCTGTGAGTTTCATGTCTTTTTCAATGACCTTTTTCAATGTTCCCATAACGTGGTTGGGTTGGCATCAATCTGACTTTTGGGGAGTTTGGCTATTTTAGAGGCTTACAAAGTTGTTTCCCTTGCATTATACATTATATATTTTGATGCATAACATCTATTGCTTGATTGTTTTCTTTTCTCCTTCACCTTCTAGAAGTCCAAAGACATTAACTGACTTTCTGTTGCCAAAACATGCCCCCAACCATATATTCCCTGCAACTTGATGACTGCCCTTTGTTGTTGTTATTTTTTTCCTCAAAGTTATCAACCTATTTTTTTTCAAAAAATCTGTTACCCTCTTCCTCCCCTTGGGGAAGTCCTTTTTACTGAGGCTGTCTCTGTGGCTGGAGTGGGGAGAGCCAGGAATTCAGAAGTCTGGCTGAGAGCAAGGCTGGGCCAAACTTACTTATTTGCCTTTTGAGAGGCTAATTTTGCCTAGTTGTTTACAGTTTTTGGCATGCTTTTCTCTCCTACCACTGACCCCGCCATCCCAATTTCTTGTCATCGCAGAAGTTTCAGAGTCAATTCTCCATCACTTTTGCAATACCCCAAAGGCTCAATTACTCAGCCAATCTTTCCCCCTGCATGTCAAAAGTGAAAAATCACTGTTCAGAGACTGTCTGGTGGAAGAGCCAGCAAGCGGGCTACTTAGGAATATGGTTTTTCCTGGGGGAACCTGGTGAGTTGCTGAAGAAAAGGAAATAGAGAAGTGAACAGATATTGATTAAAACAAACCGATGACCCCTCTTTTCAATAGGGTCAAGGGTAGACCAACTTCCCTGTCTGCTGGTTAGATGATGATGAGCCTAAAGGGGCTCTGAGCATGGGGACTGGCAGAGCCACAAAATAGAAGGAGGCTGGGTCTCTAAATCACTTTGGAGAAGATCATTTACCCAACAAATATATGAACACATGTTCTACTGTGTCAAGCCACTGAGATATGGAGATTGTTTGTTAGAACAGTTAGCTTACCCAAATACAAAAGGGATATGAACACTCACAGGACTTTCAGGGAAGAAGGGCACTAAGCTGTTCCTTCCACATGCCAAGGACTCAAAGGCGTGCAGGAGAAGGTCTACCACAGCTGCATGTCCTTAGTAAGACAAAGGCTTTCACACGAAACACTCACTGGTGGATCCTTTGCTGGCTGAAAGGGGCAGTGTAGCAGTCATTCTCCTCCAGGTCTGGCAGTGTCTCCTTGTCCAGCCTCATGGGCTTCTTAGGTAACCATCTCCGAAACCTGCTTATTTGTTTATCGATCCTGTGGTACATGAAAGGCAAGACCAAAGGGTACAGCATGTCAGCATTGCCCCAAAATATAAGAGGGAAGCCTCCACAGAGCAATAATTATAATACCAGACACCCCAGACACTCCCATTGTACATGAGTACATGACACCCCATTTCACAGACAGAAAGAAGAGAATCTCAACTCCAGTGTTTTTTCAGTCTCATCACAAGACCTCAAAATTATTGTCTATGAAATAGTGGCCAAGAGTTATATGTTCACCAACATGCCAATAAATGACCAAGCCTGGAAGGCTCTGGAAAGGAAGTGGACAGTCCCTTAAGCAAAGCAGCAGAGACTTTAATTTCTTACATTCTTCAGGTTCTAGAAATTCATTCTGTATTTGGAAAATTTTCCCATCTTCTCTTGGTTAGGGAAGTGCTCTAGCTGTAGTTAACTTTCAGCAGGGCAGCTGACAGCACATCCCAATGGGTTGCCTGTGTGCACAGAGCATGATGTCATGATTTGCTTCCTGCCTCTCACACCTTCCCTGAGCTGCCTCTCTTCAGACATCAGGCAGTTCAGCTTTCATTCTGTCTTTTAAGCTGACTCCATGGCTTTCAAGGTACAAGGGCATGATGACGCATGTGTCACTCTGGCCAGGGTGCACAAGGATGCAAAGTCACAGAAAACAACAGTGTTGTGAAGGTGGTTTACAAGACAGTTTACCCCTGGCCCCCTCCTGATTTCCTCTGGCTTCTGCTGATGAAAACATCTGACTTCCAAGTGACCAGATTGTCAGTTATTCACAGAAAACCACCAGAAGGAGCAAAATGAACAGCATACTTAAAAACAACTGTGCTATATTGGGTATCTATACCCACTGAAGCAAGTGTCTTCCAAGAGTGCATATCAAATAGCATCTCAGTAAGGCAGAATGAACAGGTACCATACTCATTTTACACATCACAGAAGAAATCCATGGCGGGTAGGTATCCAGCTCAAATTACCCAGCCAGTAAATAAAGCCAAGAATGGAATGCAGGTTTTGGGCTCTTGATTTTAGTGATCACCCCATCAAAATAGTTGATACTAGAAATCTTAAGAACTACAGAAGTGATGGATTCTTCTAATGAAGAAAATATCTAAATACCTTCTAAGTCTATTAATTACACATGGAATTTGGGTGGATTTTTTTCCAATTCAAAAAATATTTACAAGGCAATTTATCATTTTCAATGAAATTTCCAGGTTAAGGAATTGCTTTTTCTATAACCAGTCAGCTCCAAGATGAACAATAATAGGTAACTCTTTACCACTTCTTTTATTCTCTGCAGGGTTCCAGTCTCACTACACCCCCTTCTGCCCAGTGGTGGCAGGACTTTCTTCAGAACCCCTGAAAGTTCAAAGTGGAAAGATTCTCACAACTTTTCTAGGCCCTTCCTCCCAAAGACAACTCATACATACCACATATACACACACAGAAATAAAGATTCTACTAAAGGTCATGTGCCCAGAAAAGAATAGCAAATTGGAAGAGCCCAAAGTGGGATGAGAGGAAACCATTCCCATCTCCTCCATCCTTCCTTCTCCTGGTCCTCTCCACCCTCACTACTCTTTAAAAAAACTTGAAGTATAGTGACATAATGTGCATCAGAGACACAGTAGAACACAGTGATTGAGAACGTGGGGTTGCAGTATTTGAATTTAAATCCTGGTTCTGGGGGTGCCTGGGTGGCTCAGTGGGTTAAGCCTCTGCCTTTGGCTCAGGTCATGATCCCAGCATCCTGGTATTGAGTCCCTCATCGGGCTCTCTGCTCAGCGGGGAGCCTGTTTCCCCCCCCCACCCCCCGCCTCTGTCTGCCTCTCTGCCTACTTGTGATCTCTCTCCCTCTGTCAAATAAATAAATAAAATCTTTAAAAAAAAATAAATCCTGGTTCTGTAAATATTAGCAGTGTGACCTTGGGTAAGTTATTTAACTTTGTTGTGCCTTAATTTCCTTTTTTATAAAAGTGGGCATGATAATATTCAATTCATGGTGTTATGGTGATTAGTCAGTATGTACATAAAATCTCCAGAAGTACGGTGTACACGGAGTACCTGCTAATATTACGATCTTTTCCCCCCCAAAATAAGAATTGAACAACCAGCTTGCCTCTTAACATTTTTTTTTTTCAATTCAAAGTTAATTGTGCTTCACTAGCATCTACAACTTATCTAAGTTCAATGATTTAGTCCTTAAATCGACTCATAAATTATACTTCCTATGCTAAGCTGGTGGTCTTCCCCATAACTCCTGGCTTTATTTCATCTGATTGCCTTTAAACTCATTCAAGAAAGAGGACATTGGCCCAGAGCTTTTCATAATAGAGCTTTTACTCCCACACATCTCCAGTCTGCAGCACAAATCGGATTACACTTTGCAAGGTTCACATTCTTACAGAATCTGGGCTCTGCGTGCCATGACTATGAATTAAATCCAGCTGGGTACAGTGCTCAGTGTGGATAAAAACAAATAAAGCTGTGAAAAAGCAGGCATCAATACTCTATGGGAACGAAATGGCAGCTTTCAGCAACAGCTTATAGCACCACAATTTAAATGAAATGTGGAGATGGTGAAAAGAGAGTGGAACAGGGTAATGAAAATGATTCATTGAAAAATGAGAAGGGACCAGAAGTGGAGGGAAGAGAAGGGAGGCTCCTAAAAGAAGCTGGGGTGTGGAAATGGGGTGCTTAAACCCTGGCTCTGTTGCTTATCAGCTGTGTGATCTTCCAGGAATCACTCACCTGTTTAAGCCTTATTTTAAAATGTACTAATCATCATCATCAACCATCTTACTGATGTTGTTAGGAAGCCTACACATGGTGTGCATGCAATGCTTTGGAGAAACTGACAGGTAAACACTGTCATTAGCAACTTCTTAAGGACCAGGAAGGCTAATATAAAAGTGATGGAAAGCAGAGGACCTGGGCTTCTAAAACACTATTTTGGAAAAAAAGATATTCAAAAAATATCTTAAAAACAAAACCCCTGAGACACTGGCTGAGGGTTGGGGTAGGTGAATAGGCCTTCAGTGGGGTAGCCTGAGGAGAAGCAGGAGGACAAATCATGGACTGTACAGATTCTACCACATATGCTGGTCCATGCTGCTTGCTCTTCAAAATGACAGAAACAAATACTCAAATGTGGTCAGCAGTTTTTACCCTCTTCTGTTTGGCAGAACAGCTCCTGAAAGATGTGTATATCCTAATCACTGGAACCTGTGAATATGTCATGCAACACAGCAAAGGGACTTTGCAGATGTAAGCAAGTTTATAGACCTTTAGAGAGGGAGAGCATCCTGGATTACTCAGGTGGACCCAACTTCATCATATGAGCCATTTAAAAGGAGACAACTTTGCTTAGCATAATACCCTCTAGCTAAGTGAAGTCAGTCAGTCAAAGACAAATACATGATTTCATTCATGTGTGGAACTTAAAAAACAAAACAGGTGAACACAGGGAAAGGGAGGGAAAAATAAAACAAGATAAAATCAGAGACGGGACAAACTATAAGAGACTCTAAACTCTAGGAAATAAACAGGATTGCTGGAAAGGAGGTGGGTGGGGGAATGGGGACTGGGTGATGGGCATTAAGGAGGGCACTTGATGTAATGAGCACTGCATGTTGTAAGTCACTGATGAATGACTAAATTCTACCCCTGAAACTAATAATACACTATATGTTAATTAAATTGATTTTAAATAGAAAAATAAAAGGAGAGAATTTTCTCTATCTAGACATAGCAAAGATGAGGCAGAAGGGGACATCAGAGAGATTCAAAGTGTGAGAAGGACTCAACTGGGCATTGCTGGCTTTGGAAAGCCAGCAGCCAGGGAGTGCAAGCAGCCTCTAGAAGCTGAAAATGACCTTTGTCTAAGAGTCCTAAAGAATCTGCACAGAACTGAATTGTGCCAGCAACCTGAACAAGCCTAAAGATTATTCTCCCTCATGGCCTCAAGAAGAGCCTTAGCCAACCAACACCTTGACATTAGCCTTGAAAGACCCTGAGCAGAGAAATCAGTTAAGCCTCTTCCCCTAGACTACTGACCTGCAAAATTATAAGATGATAAATTTGTGTTGTTTTATGCAGCTAAATTTGCAGGAATCTGTTACAACAGCAATAGGAAATTAATACACCTCTGAAAACAGTCTTGATCTGATCTTCTCCTTGAGACCTGGCCATGGCTGGTCAGGCTCCCTGTGCTGAGGCTAACACTCCACATGCTACTCCACCTGCCAGTCCAGTGGCTCTGGGAACAAGGATCTGCTTCTCTGTGGCTGGATGACTATTGGTCACTCTTCAACAAATACTCTCATACCAAACTTGCTACTTAGGAATCACTGAGGAACCTCTTCAACAGTGCAAGATAAAAACACATAGTGCAAGAACCACCAGGCTGGAAAGCATGAGACCCACGTTGGGTTTCTGATTCTGCTGTTTTTTAGATACTACATGTTGCTGGTGATTTGGGCAATAGTATCTTGGCTATATCCTAAACAAACTTAAGCTAATAGAGAGCTTTCCTTTTCACAATATAATGGATAACCTTTCATACAGATGAAGGACTCTGAAGTTGAAGTAGGTTCACAATTTGTTGTACATCTCTCTAGTGATGAGTGCTCTGCTGGGTAAGTGACTAAACCTCTTTGAATGCACCTGTTTCATGAGTCAGTGATGAGGACTTACACAAGATAACAAATATCAGGTGTCTGCTCATTGCCTTATATGTACAAAATGCTCAGTTCAGTGGTGGTGTCTAGGATGAAGAAGATGATAAGGATGATAAACTCTTACATAGAGTTATCAATGGGAATTCAAGAACTAAGATTCTCACTTCTATATTGAGGTCTGTGTCCCCATCTCCATCTAATAAACTTCCCTAAAGAGGCAATCCTGAAATTCTCTTAGTTACAGAGTTGAGGAACCAACTAACTAGAAAGTATCCAATTTGTCTCTTAAATATAGGAATTGGGCATACTTAATAAAGTC